CCGCCCCTGTCCGGTCAGATGCGCAGGACCTCAGGGCTGACCCTGGGCCTTCCGGACAAGCTGCATTTTTAATGCTCCCCAGGTGATTCATATGCATATTAAGGTGTGAGAAGCCCCCCGGACCAGATCAACAGATGTTCTCTCCAGCCCTCGGAAGAAGAGCTCTGATACCCCAACTGAACACTCCTTGAGACTCCTACCCAGAATGCTAGGAAGCCCCTGCCTCTGCGGCTGAGATTCCTTCCCTGTGTGCCCGGGGCCAGGATTCCACCCACTCAAGAGAAGCATTTCAAAAAAGGAGGCACTTTCGGTCTGCTCCCTGCCGGGCGCAGAAAGGCTGTGGAATTTCAGAGGTCCTGCAGGAGGCCTGACCTTGCCTGACCCCTAGACACGTGTCCACGAAGGGCAGGATTCCCGGCAGGGCCCAGGAGCTGCAACGTCACTGCATAAACACAGCCCTCCCCCGGCCCAGGGGAGCCACAGAGGCGGCCCTCCAGGGCCTCCACCGCTCTGAAGGCCCGAGAAGGTGGTGTTGGCTGCTGTGATTCACAGGTTAGCATGGCCACTGCCACCATGAGCTGGGACACCCCCGCTGCCCACTTTGGGCAAGAGGTCCTGCCACCGCACTCCAGCCTGACTGTTTCAACAGCACCCTTCTCTTGCCCTGGTGAGACAAGAGAGAGAGACCCAAAGCAAGCACTTACTCCCCACTACCAGGCACCCAATGAATGTCCCCACCCAGGGAGGAGGACAGTAGCAAGGCAAACAGGGGGCCCACTTGGCCTTACCCTTGGAATTCTCTCTGCCCCATGCCAAATGATAGGGCAGCTCTTCCCATCCTAATGATATATGTTTGGGTAAGTCCCCAGCACACCTGGATACAGAGTCAGCCCAAGGCTTTAGGGCACCAGTGTCCTCTTAGGAAAGTCTATACATAGGGCTAGAGAGAGTAGCTACCCCACAGGGCTGTGCTCTATGACAACCCCCAATTTGCAGATGAGGAAACTGAGGCACGAAGCAGCAAAGTCCTTGCCCAAGGTCATAGGCTGACTCTTGGGTATGGCACAGCAGGCTTGACAGCTAAGCAAGTCTGCTCAACGGGAGCTCAGGTAAGCGCAGTTTCACCAATTTCTCTACTACAGGACGTCCCCAAGCCTGGGATGTGACTCTCCAAGGGGGCGCTCAGGTGTGCCATTTATTCACAACGTTTTTCACAAGGTAAGGGCAAGTGCTCCACAGAACACACTTGGGGAAACACCACTCTGAGGAGAGCTGGTGCTGGTACAGAGAACCCTGGCCAGGAAACTGTGACATCATCAGGGGAACAGGTCTGTGAGCTCTGGACTGGGGTAACAGGGATGGACGTGGTCCCTACTCAAAGGTATGACGCTGGCCAGACCCTGCCCTCCTACCAAACTGTTCACATCCTCTCGGTCTACCGCTCCTGGAGCCAGACGGTGTCAACACTAGTCAACACTAGTCCACCAACGTCCCCACCATCCAAAGAGCAACCATCAAAACACAGAGCCTTCCCTGGCTGCCCCCACCCCAATCCTCCAGCCCTGCAACAGCCAAGAGCCATGAACCCAAATCTCAGTCTGACCCTAAGTGGTTGTTGGACCCAAGGACAGGAGACTTCAGAGTCTAGAGGTTCCTTTTGGCTCAAAAAAGTTCTACTTGTTGTAGTCTGTGCCTCTCTGGGGCCAAAAATGTTCAAGGAATCGAGGAGAAAACAAACTCACCACTTTGTGGAGCTATTTACAGGAAGCCTGCTTAGTGCCAGGCATTTGCTGGGTACTATATACCCATTATTGCTACTCCTCATAAGCATCCTACAAAGTAAGCCTCATTATGCTCCTTTTACAGATGAAGAAATCAAGGCTTGACATGGCTGCCAGCCAAAGATGCCCTGCTAATAAGTGTGCGATCAAGGATTTGCACTCGTGTCTGACTGCCGAGTCTCTACTGTAAAGTGTGCATTTCCATGAAGAGAGCCAGGTAATGGGAAGCAAACGCCCTCTGCTTGAGGGAAGGTCTGTTGGAACTCCCCTGTGGCTGGGACCTGAGAGCTTCTTCAAGGCCACCCTAAGTGATCTGATCAGAGAGAATTAGCTGAAGGTCATCCAGTGCAGGCAATCCCCAAGATGAGATGAGACAGCAGGGCCAATCTGGAATCAAAAATTCTGAGGCACTGGAGCTCCAGCCCTGATTGGATGCGTCGGGCCAGACCCTGGGTAATTACCAAGCCATAACGGGATCTGATATTTATATTAGTCACGAACCTGACAGAGAAAACGTGTTGTTTTCTCAGACACAGCCATGGAGACAATAATTCATTACATGCAGACCGGGCTTGATCAAGCCCAAGCTTCTACAGGGTGGATAGCTCAAACTAAGAGCAGGCTTAAGCCTATGCCTGGCCACATTCAGGTCCCCCAGCAAGCCACAGCTCCCTCAGAAAGCTGGCCTCAGTTTCCCCAGACTAATCTGAAGAGAAGGAGACTGTGTGCTGGAAGAGGAGAAGGCAGGAATAAAGACACAGAAGCACTCCAAGGCTGAATTCCTAAAGAATTTGCCAGAAAACTGCAAAACACATTCTGAGCTAGAAACTTTCCCCATAGTTTCTCAACTCCTTCTAACCACTGATACTGAATCACAGAGCAGGAAGGGGCATCAGAAGTCACAGAATTCAATCTCCACATTTTAAACACAAGGAAAAAGAGCCCAGAGATGTTAAATGACTTCTTCAAGGTCATGGCCTGATCCAGGCTGCCTGAGCTGCTCACGGTTCACTACAGTCTACAACTGGATTGGACCTCAAAACGTCACAGCCTCGTGAACACAGAGCTCTGATGAAACCCAGCAGAGAAAAACAATAATGTGATAAAGTACAGCAAAGAACACAGTACTGGATGATTGTGCCCAAGTTCCCAACCAGGGGAAATGTGATTAGTTCTCTCATTTCCCAAAAAAAGTCCACATTCCATTCTTTTCAAAACAGTAAAGTCACTCACCACTTGAGATTCAGAGGCCAAAGGTGCTAATGATGCGAGGCCCCATGAGGAACACCCATAGTCCCAGCTTCCTTTGATCAAAAAAGATGGTGCCGTCCCAGAGGCCAAATACTTGTGATGTCGGGACACCCTGCGGAAACTTACCTCCCATGGAATTTCAGAAGCTAGAAATCAGCCCTCCACGAGACCCCAGCTCCTGTTCAAATCATCTTGGGACTGAATGAGGGTGAGGGTGAGGACATCTGAGGGCCGACAGAATTCTGTGCAAAAGCAGTCTCAGTTTGCTTGGGAAGCCTAGCGCTAAAATCATTATTCCAAACTTAGGACAAATGCATTCTGCCATACGGCACCTCGACAACTACCAAATACTTGGAAAGTAAAAAGAATGAAGGACAAAAAACCATGATGGCAGTAAAAATACAGACCTCGGGGGTAGAAAGAAAAGCTCAGAAAAGGTCTAAGTTACTATTAATGAGCTGGCTACACATGGTTCAAGTGAGCAAGTCAAGGGGTAGTTATTAAGAGATTCTGGGCATGTTTTAAGTCTGCTCTAATGGTATCAAAAGTGACCTGACCTCGTCCTCCACTGGCCTCATAAGCTCCCAACCAACTGCAAGCATCTCCCGTCCCAGGTTGATTTTTTGTAGAAATTTCCAGTAAGGTCAGCTCAGTTGGTCTCATAGCTACAAAATACAGCCTAATAGACAGGGATCATTTTTTCTAATGATCATTGCCAAAAACCTCTTTTCTTGAGAAGACTGACAGAAGTTATGCTTGGTCATCATTTTATGAAAGAGATTATGTGAACAATCCAATTAGCATTTCATCACGGGGACTGCAGTGACATCTGTGGACCCCTAGGGTAAAAGGGACGTGGAAGCTGTGTTTAAAACCCTACAATCACAAAAACACCACAACTTATTTTGACTCATTGAAAAGTTTTCGTTATGATCAAGAATGCCCAATGCCTTAAGGATGAGAAGGCTGTTAAAAACTGCACCCAAACCACTGAGTGGTTTTGAACATTTTAGATGCCCACGACCAGGAACTATCCCTCCCCTAAGCGCAGACACAGACTCTCAGTAAAGGAAAAACACAAACAAAATGCCAGGACTCAAGACTGGGAGGAGGAGGAGAGGAGTGAACGTGTGATCAAGAAGGCTCTATGAACAAGCGGTTAAGAGGAAGGCTAAGGCAAGAAGCATGGTCTCAGGGTCTCATGGTTCTGACTTTGCTTAACCTGTTTGCTTCTCTGGAACGTGGGAGGTTTCCCACCTGGACAAGTAAGGCGAAACCTCTATGGCGGAGGAGGTAACGCCAAAGCTGGCTGGTCAACATCTGGAAGCCTCAGGAGAAATGGGAGGAGGAGGACAGAGAGATGGCTTTTATTTTTCTCCCTTATTTCCAACACACCAGTATTTTCCAAAACACAAATGTGCTGCCACAAAACACAGCTGAGCTCCAGCACCCAGCGCGGTGTATAATTAATGATCAGGAGAGAGAGCCTGGGTTCACCCTTGTGCTTCACCAACAGCCCCTGGCTTCCCTACTTCCCACAGCAACTAAGGAGGCTTCTACAAGTTGTGGAGCCCTGTGGAAGTTTGAGGGGTCCTGGGATTAACTTTACTAGAAAAAGGTGTGAACATCCCAAGATCTGCCTCTACCCTGGGCCGTTCCCCTATTCCCTTTGATCTCCCCTCCCTCCGAAAATGTTGGCGCTGTGAAGCCCCCTAGGATGGGAATTACTCAAACACAATGCAGCTCCGTCCCTTTTTTCCAGTTCTTTTTTTATCTTGCAGTTTTCTGTGAAAAACTGCCCCAGCCCTTTACCTTCAGCCAGTGGGGGGAGGAGGGGGAAGAGGACATCTCTAGGGACACGGCGACAGACCAGGCAGTCAGCCTAGCAACCATACTTAAGGTGTAGTGAGCCTCGGTGCTGGTGGGCGTCTCTGCGCCAGGAATAGCTTAAGCCGACATCCAGCCACCTCAAAAGCGCCGGGGAGGAGGCTCCGCGCGAAACCGCGGCCTCGGAGGCTCTCGCGCGGACCTCCTTGCTCCAGCTCCCCGCTGCTGGCGGCATTTCCGGGGACCTAAGGAGGGTGGCGTGGGGGCGAGAATACAGAGGCTGAAGAACCTGGGGTGGGGGTATGTTCCACGAGAATATCTAAGGGATGGGGAGGAAGGTGACATCAAATGTGCGACCTCGCCACATTCCTAAAGTGGCAGCCTCCGTGGGTTGCCTCCAAAACTGGGATGCATCTCCCCAACTTTCCCTCGCTGTACCCGAGGTCCCCCCCCCCACTTCCTCTGGCCAGGTTCCTCCCCCGGGATTCCCCAGCGCAAAAGATTTTCTTCCCTGCCCAAAGGGTTTCCCCTGCCGTCCGACTCCGCGAACTCGGCTCCCCAACAGGTTTCTGGAGTGCGGGCCGACGTGCTCGCGGTCTCCCACCACCAGGAGCCCGGCCGCGGCGGGCGAGGCGGGCGGCAC